CCGAAAATGCCCCCAAAAAGGTCAAGACATATAAAAAATAGTCCCCAGACTATTTCTGGATCATTTTTTTTTGTTATGTTTTGGGTATTTTTAATTTTTCGTCGAAAATCCACCTGTAGGGGGACAGGCCCGACTGAACAGTAGTATACGCGCGCCGTTTCGCTGGTCATCTCAGCGGTCGGCATCGTCGGACAGGGGTGACCCCAGTGGAGGCAAGAGTCTCGCCGCGCACCGCTGGGGTCAGGCGTGCGGGCAGTGAGCCGTCGCGGCGTTCAGTCCCACTGCCAGCCCCGGGGGCGCCTCGGCGTGTCGAGGGAGCTCTCGAGAGTGGGGCTCAGCAGGCCGGGGCGAGAGTGGGGAGACGAGCGGGCGGACGAGACGTGCTGCCGCGGTGTGTGGCTCTCCTGCGGATCCATGCCCGCAGCGTGGCCCGAGGGGTGGGTGTCGTGGCGACGCCGTTGCAGGGTGGGTGCACCCCAGGCGGCAGCGGGTGGTCTCTCCTTGGGGCTTGGAGCGGCGCTGTAGGCTGTCAGAGTCCTCACGGCCTTTCCCCGTGAAGCTCGAGCAAAACAAGGCTATGCCTGCGACGCCCCGGCGGTGCGGTTTTGGTGGTGCGGGTGTTTGGGGTGGGGAGGTCCTCTGTGGTAGCCCGAGGTGCGTGGCCTCATGACAGTGAATGGTACGGTGAGTCTCATGTTTACCCGCCTCGAACTGATCCCTATCCCTAAGATTGACACGCCAAAAGGCGATGACAATCTTAGGGATACGCCCTCGAAAAATATGGGAATCCCTAAGATTGGCATCGTGATGAGGAGATGCCCATCATAGGGATAGGGATCTGTTCCAGGCTGATAACATGCGAGCAGCGAGGCGATGGCACGGCAGACTCGACGAGGGCACGGCGTGCTGCTCCTCTGTCGGGCGTGCGAGCCTTACTGCAGAGGCCTCCGGCCGGTGCAGCCGCTCCGGGACGATCCCGCTGTCAGAAGGACGTTTTCGCCCCAGCGCGGGGCGATATTTTCCCTTCTCCGCGCCGCGCTTCAGTTTTGCAGGCAGTGAAAAAAATCAGGGTCCGAGTCTTTCCGCATCCTCGTCGAGGCCTCCTGGGGGGGCGTCTTGGAGGTGATTGTTGAACCTCTTGGGGGCCTTTTGGGTTTCTTGGGGGGCATGCAGGAGGCATCCTGGAGGCCTCCTGGGTGCGTGTGTGTGTGTGTGTGTGTGTGTGTGTGTGTGTGTGTGTGTGTGTGTGAGGTAATTTTTAAGCCTTCGGGGGCGCTTTTGGGCGCCTTGTGGGGGCCTCTTGAGGGCCACTTGGAGCTTCTCGGGGTTCCTGGGGGACTCCCAGGGCCATTTTGGTGCCTCCTGGGCGCCTCTTGGGCAGTCTGGGGCCCTTCTGGGGCGGGCCGTCATGGAGCCCTCTTGCGCGCTTCTTGGGCCCGTCCTGGGGCGCGCTTGGGCTGTCGCCTTCCGGGCCGTCTTGGACCCTTCTTGGGCCGACTTGGGGCCCTCTTGAGAGCCTCTGGGCCTGTTTTGGGTGTGTGGGACACTGCGAAGGCCAAAGAAGCGAAAATGTAAAACAAATGTTTTCCTAAGGAAATGGGGCAGATTTTCCGTTTTTGGGCACTCTCAGGAGGTGTCGGGAGGGCACGTTGGAGGCTTCTGGAGCCGTATGAGGAACATATTGAGTGTCTTGGAGCGATGTTTCGGCCACTCAGGGCCCTCTTGGACCGTCTGGCCGGCCGCTGTTTTTTTTATAAGCCCGCGTTCGAGCTCTCCGGGGCGAGGGGCCGACCTGGAGTGAGCTGGAGCTCTGATTTCGCCACCAAAATTTACTCGGACCCCCCCCCTCTCAAGAACTGAGGCTCAGGCTACATCTGAGGGTCTTGGAAACTCACACGCCAGATCGTCGGCGGATTTCCCTCTCCCCGTCCTCCTCCTCTTCCTCCACTGTTCATGCTCCTCGAGAAGGAGCGGTATGCGTGCGTGCACTCCTCCTCTGCCCTCCTCCTCCCTCGTCTCCCCTTCTTCTCTCCGACGGGGGAGGGCGGGCGAGGGCCACGGGGATTCGCCTCTTTTTGCGCCCGCGTCAACGCCCGGCATGAGCACACCGCGGTTGGCAACGGCCTTTCTCTCGTGGCACGGCTGGCCGCCAGGGCAACAGACAGTTTTGGTGCACCCCATGCGGGCTCCAGGTCCAGGGCGGCCCGCAGGGGGACGAACACCGAGAGCATGCACTCCTTGCACCCACCAACCCAGTCCCCCTTCCGTCCCAAATCCCCTCTCGCCCCCCCCAACGAGGGGCTAAATGGGGGAGCATAGGATAGGACTGGTGGTCGTAACGATGGTCTCCCAGTGTACCTCGAGCGCTGCCCAGGCCTGCCGTAGCCACTGGAGGGAAAGGGAACGGTGACCATGGCCAAGGAATGCGGAGACGTCGGTGCCGGAGGAGGAGGAGGAGGAGGAGGAGGAGGAGGAGGAGGAGGAGGAGGAGGAGGAGGAGGAGGAGGAGGAGGAGGTCACCGTCCACCTCGGCCACTGTTCGTGCTGGAGGGAAGGGCAACGGTGACCACGACCACTGAATGCGGAGGCGTCGGTGCCGGTCTCGGTCACCTTCCGTCCTGGTCACCGTCGATCCACCAGCTCAAAACAGGCGCCCAATGCCGAAAGCGCGAGGGCCAGAACAGAACGCAGGCTCCTCGAGACTTCGAGGAGGGAGATCTCGGGGCAGGGTCTTGCCAGGGGGACCACGACGAACGCAGGCCATGCCTCGCAATCTTTGGCCGACTTTCGAGAGTTCTCGGGGAACCCGCGATTTCGAGATTGGTAATGTGTTTCTCCTTGGCCATCGATGCGTGGATCTGCCTCGCAAGTCGGCGACGGCCGGCACAAGAGGGGGAAAGGAGGGGGAAGCAGGAGGAGGAGGAGGAGGAGGAGGAGGAGGAGGAGGAGGAGGAGGAGGAGCAGGAGGAGGAGGAGGGGGAAGGAGAAGGAGGAGGAGGAGGAGGGAGGAGTAAGAGGGGGAGGGGGAGGGGGAGGGAGGAGGAGGAGGAGGAGGAGGAGATGCATCGTGACCAAGATCGGCGCGCCGACGGCATCCCGCGCGGCATCGTGGCCGGGGTCGGCGCGCTGCTGCCCTCGGGCCGTGCCTCCTCGGGTGCAGGCCGCCGCCGGGGTGCGCCGGCGGGCCTCGCCGGCCCCCCTGCGCGCAGGCTGGGCTGCAGGGCTACGTCGGGCGTGTCCCCCCACAGGGGGATTTTCGACGAACGAGCGTTTCGCTCGAGACATCCTCAAGTTTTGATCCGTGAGGGCTTCGCCCCCTGCCGCCGGCCCCCTCTCTCGGAGAATGGGCCATGGAAGAGCTAAGTCATGAGGCCTTGGCGCTGTCGTGAAGCAGTATCGAAACTTCATGCGAAGCCGATTCGCAATCAGCAAAACCAACTGATCACAAAAACGGTGTTACCACACAGGGCGTTGCCATAGCATGTGTTATAGTTTCGAGCTTGGCATGCTCGTCGATCCTGGGATTATTTAAAGGGCCCGGCCGAGGGAGTACTCGAAGTTTGGGTTTTACAGCCTTGCGATGGATGTTGCCAGTGAGGGGTGGCACCGAATTTCAGAAATGTAGCAAATCCCCTGTGTTTTGGGACCCTGACCCCGCGGATCTGCGTGAGGGGTGGCACCGAATTTCAGAAATGTGGCAAATCCCATGTGTTTTGGGACCCTGACCCCGCGGATCTGCGTGAGGGGTGGCACCGAATTTCAGAAATGTGGCAAATCCCTTGTGTTTTTGGACCCTGACCCCGCGGATCTGCGTGAGGGGTGTCACCGAATTTCAGAAACTGTGGAAAATCCATGTGGTTTTTGGACCATTTGTGGTTTTTGGACCATGACCCGCGGATCCCCCGCGGATCTGCGTGAGGGGTGGCACCGACTTTCAGAAATGTGGCAAATCACATGTGTTTTTGGACCCTGACCCCGCGGATCTGCGTGAGGGGTGGCACCGAATTTCAGAAATGTGGCAAATCCCATGTGTTTTTGGACCCTGACCCCGCGGATGTGCGTGAGGGGTGGCACCGAATTTCAGAAATGTGGCAAACCCTTTGTGTTTTTGGACCCTGACCCCGCGGATGTGCGTGAGGGGTGGCACCGAATTTCAGAAATGTAGCAAATCCCATGTGTTTTTGGACCCTGACCCCGCGGATGTGCGTGAGGGGTGGCACCGAATTTCAGGAATGTAGCAAATCCCATGTGTTTTTGGACCCTGACCCCGCGGATCTGCGTGAGGGGTGTCGATTTCGAGCCCCCCCAGCAATTCAGACAACGCGCCCAGGGGGTGCTAAAAATACCCCCCTCGCGCGGTCAATCAACTAGTTACAGTAACCAGCAAGAAGCAGAACTGTAACACTGGAAACTACAAGCTACAACTGGTACTGGAAACTGCGAACCCGTGCCTCGCAGCCTGGTGGCCCCACAAGGGGGCCGGCGGATTCGCCGGCCCTTCGCGACCTCGTAATTTATCGCAAAAGAAGTTCGCCGGCCCATGGGGTGAACCTCTAAAAGAGAACCCTGGGCCTAAGCCCTTTCCGGGAAAAACCAAAAGTACCCCAAAAATACCCCAAGAAGGCCCCCAAAAACATTCCAAAAATAGTCCCCGGACCATTTTTGGACTACTTTTGGAATTTTTTCCCCCATTTTTCGTCGACAATCCCCCTGTAGGGGGACAGGCCCGACTTAAGCCCAGGGGGGCGGGTCGGGGGTGGACAGAGCCCCCACCCTGACACGTCGATCAGTGCATTGTCCGTCCTCGGTGCTCGAGAGGGCGCCGCGGCCGTCCTTTTCCAGGCCTGCGCCCGCCAGGTTTGGGCCCGAGGGCGTTTTCACCGAACCACGTTCTGCCAAAAGGGGGTTCCGTCCATCCCCGAGCAAGGGGGGCGTGCGCCGAGGCCGCGGGAACTGGGACTACGCGCTGCTTGGCAAGCGCTCGCTGGGCGGCCTGGGGCCGACGCCGAACAGTTTGAACCTCCCCCCCCACCCCCCGGGAGACGCCGCCCGGCTCAGGCCCAGGCGCCCGCCCCATCGGAGGACGCGTCAATGGGGGGGCGATCAACGGGGCAGCGAGGGCTGCCGAGAAGGGACTCTTCTGGGCCCCTGAAGGGGCCCTTGAGGGCCCAGAAGGGGGGCTTTAGGGCCCGACAAGGGCACCTTTCTCCCCCCCCCCACCCCCCCCAGGGTATTCGCCCCTCCATTATTCGCGCCAGCCTCCCCGCCCTCCCCCCCGGCCTCCAGGAGGAGGAGAGGGGAGCGGATGAGATGAAGATGAGGAGGAGGAGGACGAGGAGGAGGAGGAGGCGGCGGAGGAAGGAGGAGGAGGAGTGAGGGAGAGGAGGAGGAGGAGGAGGATAATGAAAGGACAAAACAACATTACACGAGCACGAACTGTCGGAGGCCCGCGCGGGCCCCCGACAGTTTTTTGTTTGTGTAATTTCGTTTCGTTTCGTTTCGTTTTGTTGTTTCTTCTTCTTCTTCTTCTTCTTCTCCTAGAGGAGGTCGCAGGAGGAGGACGGTGACCAGAGTGAGCCGAATACTGGTAAGTCTGGCCCCCGCCCCTGATCCTGACCCCCAGAGGTCCCCGATGTCCCCTGGAGGCCTTCGGAGGCTGGCGCCGGTCCAAGGAGCCCGCGCGGACCTCCGACAGTTTATACTTTTGCCGTTCTGTGTTCCTCCGTGGAGCAAGATTCGGCCGCGTACTCCCGCAGGACGACCGGCCTCGGAGATCCGCCGCTCGTGCTGGAAGGTTCCCGCTGGATTCTCAGCAACATGCGGGCCAGAGTGTACCCAGGGAGAGGTCCTGAGAGTAGCGGTATCGGTGCCTCTTGTCCCCCCTCCAACGGTCTCCCTCCCGATTGCAGAACTCAGGGGCCCCAGCGCGTCCGTCACCGTCGGCAGCTGTAGTGGGGCTGCGTTACAGCTTTTTTCCTTGCATTGCAGTGTTTTGGTTCCCTACCCGACCCGGGTCTGGACTGACCCAGGTCAGAAGATCCCCGAGAGAGAAGTTGGCGGTTGGGCGATCTCGGGGTGTTTTTTGGGGGCTCTTGAAGGCCGTCGCGGGCCCTCGCCAGGCCGAAGACGGGGGCAAAGCCTCCGGCTACGAGCTCTTCAACGCCCGAGGGGATCGGGGGTGTCTCTTGGTGCGCGGGCTCCAGCGGCGAGGCCGTGCGAGGCTTGCGGCGTGTAAGCCTCCGCGCTCCGCGCGGCTCCAGATTAAGAGGCGCCGCGCCTCCTCCTCCTCTCCCCCCCCCCCCCGGCCTCCTCCTCTCTTCCTCCTCCTCCTCCTGTCTCCGCCTCCTCCCCCTCCTCCTCCCTTTCCTCCCTTCCCTCCTCCTCCCATCCCTCCTCCTCCTCCTCCCCTCCTCCTCCTCCTCCTCCTCCTCCTCCTCCTCCTCCTCCTCCTCCTCCTCCCAGGGGCCGATCGACCTCCTGGGAAGCGGATGCGTGTGCGGCGCCGATCGGCGGCGCGCCCCGGGGGGGGGGGGGGAGGCCGAGAGGGGCGGCTCGAGGGCGAGGCTCGAGGCTTTCGGAAGTCCTGTCGCTTCTCTGCGGCTTTCCTGCGGGACGGGAAAATTACCACAGCCACTGCTCGCAGGCGATGTTTCTCCCCGAATCCCCGAGTTTCGCCCAAAGAGTCTGGTCCATTCGGAAACCCCACGAAGCCTGGGAAAGGGGTCGACACATCCCTTGTTAACTGCTTCTTGTTTGCGCCGCCTTCCAGCCGGCCGAACAAGAAGCAGTGGTTGTGGTCATTTCCCTGGTGCCAAGCTCCACGAAAATGACCACAGCCACTGCTGTGTTTTTTTGCGGGCTGGAAGGCGGCAACAAAAGAAAAGCAGTGGCTGTGGTCGTTTTCACGCCCCGTATGTCCAGTCTCGGGATGCTCTCCCGCAGCTGAGCCGTGCCGAGGGCGCTCTGCGGGGGGCCAGATCGTCCCGAACGTTCGGCCCCGGCGGCCGTTCGCGAACGGCCGCCCGAGAGCCGAGCTATGGCCTGGAAGCCACCAGGCGTCCGAGGGGGGGCGGGCCTTCCCATCGCCCCGTCTCCGCATTTTTCAGCATTTTTCAGCGGGCACGCAGACGCGCCGATCTGCATGCTGCCACGCACGTCCATGGGCTGCCCGCAGCCTACGACTCCGACCGACCGACCGACCGCAGATGCAGAAGGCCTCCGGCCTTCCGGGAAGCTTCCCGCGCCCCCTCCGGAATCCGAGGGGGCCTCTCCGGAATCGGAGGGGGGCATCTGAGACGCCCCGCCGCCCTCTGAGAGTCGGCAGCTTGCGGAGGGGGGGTAGGGGGAGGGGGAGGGCTTCTTGGGAGCACCCCCTGCTTCTTAGGAGGCGCTGTCCTCCTCTGCAGACGTGGGGCCAGGGCCTTCTGAGGAGCAGGGGTGCTTCTAAGAGGCCTGCCCCCCTCCCCCTCCCCCCTTCTGCGCGCCGCCAAGAGAAGGCCCGCCCCCAGCGTTTCGTGTCCTCTCGTGCGCGGCCCCGCCTCTCGGCGGCCTCGCGGGCGGCAGCGTGCGCGGCGCCCAGGGCGGAAGCGCGCGCACATCGGAGAAGAGTTCGCGCGGCGATTTGTCGACAGTGTTGTTCGGCCACGCGCAGAGGGGGGTATGGGGGAGGGGGGAGGGCTTCTTAGAGACACCCCTGCTCCTTAGAAGCGGCGGCCCTTGGGGCCTCGTCAGTAGATGTAAGGCCCGCGCCGTCTATGGATCAGGCTCTTTCTAAGAAGCCTCCCCCCTCCCCCTATCCCCCTCCGCGCGTCGCCAAATTCTCTTTCTCTCTTTCTCTCTTTGTCTCTCTCTCTCTCTCTCGCGCGCGCGGCCCCACTTCGACGGACTTTGGCCAGCCAGGCGCACGCGCCGCGCCCCAGCGGGATCGCAGGCGCGAGGGCAGACCTGCGCGACGCCGAGGCGAGAACGACGTTTCGCTCTTTCGCGCCGCCCGACGTGTGCCGTGGTCCAATCCTGACATTTATTTTGCATCGTGGAGCCCGAACCGTCCGTGTCGAAAAGTCGAAGTGCATCGTCGATGTTGTGTCACTTTTGATTCGGTAAAGTGGAACGTCCTGCTTTGATCCCTCTGTCGTGGCTGAAGAGAGGAGGGCGTTATATAGGGAAGCAGGATGGCGGAGAAGGAGTGGAGGGGAGGATGTCGCGGAGCTTGTCCTTGGCAGTTGCCCAGGTTGCCTCAAGGGCCAGATACCTTTCGAGGTCCGCTTGAAGCTGTTCGAGTCGTGCATGAAGGGGCCCATGCTGGTTTCCGGCCTGGTGCAGCACCCCGCTTGCTCTGCTCGCCAACGTGCATGGAGTTGTGTGTGTGTGTGCCCTCGCTCGTCCACCCTTTCGGCTCTGACCCGAGAGTCTCAGTGCGTTCGAGCACCACGGGTCTGTGCTACCTTCCATTCCTACTTCGCTGCCCCCGTCGATTCCATCGACGTGCTACTCTCGTGCCTGCCCTCCCCCGTGAGTTCGTGAAGGTGGTTCGGGAGCGGCGCAACCACTCTGTTTGCAAGCGTAACCGACCTCCAGCCCTGCGTGAGCGACCAGTTTTCTTTCTTTCGCCTTTCCGCGTCCGAAAGGAGCGTTCGGGATCATGGGCGGGAGATCACGTTCGCCCGCTTGGCATCGTCATGAACGTCGGCTGAGAGCAGAAACTCGGGATCGACTACGTTATCGCCGAGACTGTGAACTGTTTTCCCTACACCACGGAAGTGCAGTGCCCAGCTTGGGTGGCAATAAGGTAAATTTCAATGGTGGGAAAGGTGGGGAGCAGCCTCGGACATGTATACGAAATGGCAGTCATGTGGGCAGTTCGAATGGGACAACATATGTCAAGTGCAGTGTGACGTCTGCAAGCTTGGCGATTCGGTGACTCTTCACGACGGAGAATCCGAAGAGTGGCACAGGTAGTGACGGACAGAAGGAACGTCAGGGAGCTAATCAGTTGGCACCCGCTGGTTCTAGTCAAGCACCGGCGGAATTCGCAGATCTTGAACAAGCTTACGCTGCTACCACCGGTCCAGACAGCAATACTGCGCTGGAGAGTATATCGGGGCGGTGATGTTAGAGCAGTGGATGCAGTCAGAAGCTGCTATGGCCTTGAGTACAGAGGATGAAGAAGGCTTCTGGAGCTGTTCGCGGCGCCACGTGGCGTCATGACCATGCAGCGCAATCCCTCCTCAAGGCCCAGACCAATTTGGCTAAGGCTGACGAGCGCGAGCGTGAGACTGTGGTCTATTTGGCCACAGTTGACCTCCAGAAGCAGCAGGCGACGCGAGCGCTTGCGATCAGGGTAGGCACTGTGCAGAAGGAGGCGCCGTCAGCATCGGAAGCATTCGTTGCTCTCAAGTGGGACGAAACTTTCTTCGAGGTCGCAGGGGACTGGGAACTTGAGGAGAAGGCACAACTCGAGACGATAGAGGGGCAACTCGACGGACTCAAGGGCCAGCTCGACTCTAAGGCACCCGGTGTGCAGGCGCAGCGCGGGGGGGCCTCGGGCCCCACCCCCTATGCTGGTGCTCGCGCGCACAACATGTTGACCGCAGCGGACCCCTGCCCCGACGTGCCCCACCCCGCCCAAGCGCGACCGTTACCGCTCAGGGCAGGTCAGGTCAGGTACCAGACGGAGCGTGAGCAGAGGGGTAGTGGAGAACAGACGAAAACATTTCGGCCAAGGTGGCCACCCCATGAGCAGGCGGCGAGGGGCGCGCGCGGCATACGAGGTGCTCAGGCCTCGCACCCGGGGCGCAAGAAAACGTGGTGATTGTGCGGGCCTTGCGCCGTGCAGTCAACTCGCATGGTAAGGATGGGAGGAGGAGGAGATGGAGGAGGAGGAGGAGGAGGCGGGGGGGGGAGGAGGAGGAGGAGGGAGGAGGAGGAGGAGGAGGAGGAGGAGGAGGAGGAGGAGGAGGAGGAGGCGGAGGAGGAGGAGGAGGAGGAGGAGGAGGAGGAGGAGGAGGAGGGGAGGAGGAGGAGGAGGAGGAGGGGGGGAGGGGGGAGGCACAGGAGGAGGAGGAGGAGGAGGAGGAGGAGGAGGAGGAGGAGGAGGAGGAGGAGGAGGAGGAGGAGGAGGAGGAGGAGGAGGAGGAGGCGGGGGAGGAGGAGGAGGAGGAGGAGGAGAAAGGGTACCCTTGCGCCCTCGCCCCCCCGGCCCGTCCGTCCTTCGCCACTTTCGTTGGCCGCGCCCCGCTCGGGGGGCTTCGGGATGGGCGCCCAAGACCCTTGCATCCTCATCGCGCATCCTTATGATACGGGCCGACTGTATTCACTTGTCGTTGACCCTCGCCAAATTCCGACAGTCAGCTCTCATTCGCGCTGGCGGGCCTAGTGAAAAGCTCCTGTCTGGCAGATCGCTGCCATCCCTCGACAGGTGCCGTTCTCCGCGGCCGGCTCGTCGGGATTCCTTCTGCCCGCCCCTGCGGGCATGCATGATTCGGGTCTGGCCTCGTGCTTGCATGCCTTCATTCTCTATGCTGCGTCCTTGCGTCCGACGTCCCGCCCCACCTTCCCTGACTTGCGATGCGATGCCGTGCTCTTCCCACTGCGGGGTCTACAGAGGTCCCGACTCTTTCCCCAGGGTCGTTGTTTCACCCCGAGCCGCTATCTGACGGCCCTGGGGCCCACTGGCGGCCCCCAGGGGCCGAAATCTGCCCCCCCCCCCCCCCCCGCCGTCGTGTCGCGATCATGTCTGCGTTTACGCCCCCCCCTGGCTTTCGGGTCATAACTCGGCTCTCTGGCGGCCGTTCGGGACGATCCAGGCGTGTCCTCTCGGTGAGGCGTAGCTGCTGTAGAGCACCTTGAGGCTGGAAAATCGCCGAGACCCTACGAAAACGCCCGAAGACCTCCGCCTCCGCCTCCTCCTCCTCCTCCTCCTCCTCCTCCTCCTCCTCCTTCTCATCCCCGTCGGCCTCCTTCTGCTGGCCCCGCCCTGCACCCCCCCTGGCCCGAGCCCACTCTGTGGTGCCCGAGGGGTCCATCTTGACTGCTCCCTGCTGCCTGCTTGGTTGTGCCGCTTCCTAGTCCCCGAGCTGTTTTTTGCTGTCCGATGTGCTGTATTTGTTTACCTTGCGCCCATGCATCACTTTTCAGTTCAGGTAAATGTTCTGCCAGTGAAGTGCCGCCTTCTGCTGACAGGCTCTCGGCTTCATCTCCGCAGTCCAGACGAAATCCCCCGGCCCGAGCCCTCCCCGCGGGGCCCGAGGTGTCCATCCTGATCAAGACGCTGCTGCCTGGGCTCCTGTCGCTGTGGCGGATGTGCGCGGACCGCAACTACCCGTCGTGCCCCAACTGCATGTGCCGGTGCCGCCGCCGCAGGCGCCCCCCGCGTGGGGCTCCCCGGCCCCCCCTTCGCCAAGGGAAGGACTCGGCCAGGCGGAGCTCAGCCAGCCGAGCTCAGCCTGGCCGAGTGCAGCTGGCCGAGTTTGTCCTGGCCGGCTGGAGTTGCTCCCCCTTCCTCCCTCCCACTCCGTCCTCCTCTCTTCCGCCTCGCCCTTCCCCTCCCGCTTCCTCCCCTCCTCCTCCCTGAGATCATGGCGTCTCAGCTGGGCGTTTTCGCCCAGCTTCGGGCCCTGGGGCCCGCACAGATCGACCTGGCTCGAAAAACGGCGCAGAGAGTTGGAGTCTAGGGCTCCGGTCGTGATTGTCCATGACGCCTCACATTTTTCGTGCCGTTGGATCTCAGGGGCTTCGGGTTGCGCACATACGGCCCCCTCAGGCAGTCCCTGCTGGCCCCAACAGACCCGAGGTAGTCCCCCCGGGCGGTTTCAACAACCCAGGGCGGTTCCAACACTCTGGCGCCGTTTTTTTTTTTTTTTTTTTTTTTTTTTTTTTTTTTTTTTTTTTTTTTTTTTTTTTTTTTTTTTTTTTTTTTTTTTTTTTTTTTTTTTTTTATTTTTTTTTTGTGTGTGTGTGTGTGCGTGCGTGCGTGCGTGCGTGCGTGCGTGCGTGTGTGTGTGTGTGTGTGTGTGTGTCTGTGTGTGTGTGTGTGTGTGTGTTTTGCCTCTTTGGAAAGATATGGGATTTTTTTGGTTTGTGTGTGTGTGTACTTCTTTGGTGTGTCCCAGGGCCCCTTCATGTCTGTGCGCAGCCCGAAGCCTTGCCGCCCTCCCTCCCTCCCTCCCTCCCGCTCGGGCCCTCTCCCGCCTTCCCCACCCCCTCCCGCTTCCTTCGGGGGCCCCCAACGCCGTGGTGACCACACCGCGCGGTGAATCCGTGTGGGGGTTCGGGGTCACCGGCACGGCTCCGGGGCTCGGGGCGTTCTCCGATGCCGCCTCGGGCGGCCGCGGCCTCCGAGGTCCCGAGGCCGGGCGTTGCCGGACCGCGCGGTGAGGCCTCCAGGGATTTCGAGGTCACCGCGCGGTCCGTCGCCTCACGGTTTGGAGACCCCCGACTTCTCCCCTTGCCCTCTCCCTCCCCTCCCCTCCGCGCGTCCTCCCTCCCCTCCCGCGAGGCGTTGACTCTCGCCTGCCCCCTGGCTGCCTGGCTTCGCCCGGCCCGTGGGCCCCCGCAGGACTCGATGGGGCCGCTGCCTGATGGTGCCGGCCAACTTCGTGCTGAGCGTGTGCCTGCTCATCTTCCAGGCGCCCGTGGGGGGGGCGGGTGGGGGAACCCCGCCTCTGTACAGCTGGAAGGCGGGTTAAGAGCAGCGCTAGCTTTGTAGGGGTACACTGATGTTCTTCGCGTTTGAGCTCTGAAACTTGGAATGGCCTTCGTTTGGCGTTTCTCTAAGGGGCCTTGGGCTCTCGGCGACGAGGATCATGCTCTTGATGGACGCTCTGTGTCCACGTTTCGACTGTAATGTTTCCGCGGAGGAGACGTAGCGTACTCCTATACTTCCACTCTGTCTACATCGCTTTCCAAGGAGGAGGAGGAGGAGGAGGAGGAGGAGGAGGAGGAGGAGGAGGAGAAAGACGAGGAGGAGGAGGAGACAGAGGAGGAGGAGGAGGAGGAGGAGGAGGAGGACGGAGGAGGACGAGGAGGAGGAGGCGGAGGAGGAGGAGGAGGAGGTGGAGGAGGAGAAGGAGGAGGAGGAGTAGAAGGAGGAGGAGGAGGAGGAGCAGGAAGAGAAGAGGACGAAGAGGAGGAGGAGGAGGAGATGGAGGAGGAGGAGGAGGAGGGAGGAGGAGGAGGCGGCGAAGGAGGAGGAGGAGGAGGCGGAGGAGAAGGAGGAGGAGGAGCAAGAGGAGGAGGAGGAGGACGAGGAGGAGGCGGCGAAGGAGGAGGAGGAGGCGGAGGAGAAGGAGGAGGAGGAGGAGCAAGAGGAGGAGGAGGAGGCGGAGGAGGAGGAGGAGGAGGTGGAAAGGAGGAGGGGAGGAGGAGGAGGAGTAGGAGGAGGAGGAGGAGGAGGAGGAGGAGGAGGAGGAGGAGGAGGAGGGTTCCGTGGTCCGGGGTCCGTGGCCCTCGCGGACTTCTATGTCCGTGGTCCGCGCGGTGAGCGCAGGCCGCAGCAGCTACGCTGCTGCCGCCACCGCTTTTTCTACTTCCTTCTTGTTCTCTTTCTCTTTTCACCCGAGGTTAGGCGACGGCTTCTTCCGCCTCATATCGAATCGAATCGAATCGAAACGGAGGAGGAGAAGGAAGAGGAGATAGAGGAGGAGGAGAAGGAGGAGGAGGAGGAAGAGGGTGAAGAGGAGGATGAGGAGGAGGAGATGGAGGAGGAGGAGGAGGAGATGGAGGAGGAGGAGGAGGAGGAGGAGGAGGAGGAGGAGGAGGAGGAGGAGGACGTGGTACGAGCGCAGGAGGAGGAGGAGGAGGAGAGTGATGCTGAGGAGAACTAGAGTAAGCCAAAGATGCATCAACGGTGCTTGCAATCCACCCTCCTGTCCCAAGCCCCCTCCCCATGCGCCCCTACAACTTTCATTTTGCGCTGCAAGAAGCCCGCCCCCCCTCGAAAGACGAGCACACCTGGGCCTGCCATTTTGGCGAGGGCCCCGAGCTGAACATGAATCGCCTTGCATCTCAGCGGCGCGCAACCAGCAGCTCGAAAGGCAGTGCTCATACAGTTCAGCGAGGTGTCCAGCGCAGTCCCCCTTCCGAAGGAGAACCGCCACCCCGTTCCGTGCAACTGCTGCGCAGGTTTACACTCGGGACCATGAGCTCCGAGGACGCCTCAGGCCACAGCTCCGTGTGGAAAAAGAGCAGCCATGGATCCGTTCAGCGCTGCGCGCCTTGAAGTACCGGGCCTTCAAAGCGATGTCCCAGGCGAGAATTCCATTTTGAACAAGAGGTTAGTCCCCCATCCTGCTAAACTTTGCATTGAATCGAATGCGTGAGGCGCTGAGTCGATAGGCCCATTTTGAAACCGGCCAGTGCTCAATCTTTGAATCTGTTACGAAGGCGAGAGCCCCAGCTTGAAAAGCAATCAGCCTCCATCCGTGAAGCTGGCGCAAACATTGAAAGGCATGTGTGCAGCGCTGCGGCGAGAGCCACATTTTGAAGGCCACCCCTTTCATCCTTGAAGTTGCTGCAGAGTTTTACAGCGAATGTTTGCGGCGATAATGCGAGAGTCACACTCTGAACGTACCCTCTACTAAAAGTGAGCTTGTTGCAGTTGTATCAGGCCAGACGAATGCGCGTGGCGCTAAAGGCGAGCTAATAGTTTGAAAATTACTCCCCTCCATCCGTGAAGCTGCTGCAGACTTGAGACGAAAGTACGCGGCGCTAAGCCGAGAGCCACACTTTGGAAAGAAGCCGCCTTCCGCCCGTGAGCCAGTTGCGTACATTTAAAGCGAAAGTGCGCGGTGCTAAGGCGATAGCCACATTTCGGAACCGACACCCCCTCCATCCTTGAACATGCTTCAGACTTTTGAGACGAATGTGCTCGGCGCTGAGGGGGAAGCCACATTTAAAGACGAGCTGTCGCACATTGTAAGCTTCAGGATCATACATGGCGAGGGAGTCGCCCTGCCCGCCCTATCGACATAGTGGGAGTCCCCGGGACGAGAAGGCTACAGCTGGGGTCCCGACCCAGGGCGAGGGGGACGAAGGGATCCCTCCAGAAGGGCCCCAGGGGACTCCCGTGCCGGGCGGACACCAGGAACACAGGGTGGGGATGGGCAGCGCGAGAGCTCACGCTAACCACCACCAGGGCCTCGCCCGTCCTAGCGCTGCGGGACGAAGAGAGAAGGCTGGAGGGGGCCCTCTCCGAGGCGACACCCCCGCCCCCACCTCAGCTCGGCCGCGGGACTCGGCCCGGCCTGCGGGGGAAGGCGGGGGGGGGAGGAGGAGACGCCTTGTCGCCGGCTTCGCGGGGCGGATCCTCAGGTCCCTGGCGGCCGCCCCAGCCCTCCCCCGGGGGCCGAGGCTCGCGCAGGAGGAGGAGGAGGAGGAGGAGGAGGAGGAGGAGGAGGAGGAGGAGGAGGAGGCGGAGGAGGAGGAGGAGGAGGAGGAGGAGGAGTAGGAGGAGGAGGAGGAGGAGGAGGAGGTGGAGGACCAATGGAAACCCAAGAGTCATCAACGACTTTGGAATTAACCCTCCCTCGAAGCTCCTTCTTCGTTTCCATTGAGGGAACTGCTTCGTTGGAAGACAACAGGTTGACGATCCTGCAGCGTGCTAAAACATTGTCCTCGTGATTTCAACGCCACGTGTCAACCTGACTGCAGCGTCTTGACGATCCAGAATCGCGCCAGAACGGCATCTGTGGGATTTCAACACCGCGAATAACTGTTGCGCCCGCATTATCCGGAATCCATCCCAAACACCATTTCTGCTACGTTGATCATGGGAACCCGTGAAACTTTTATGTGCGCGGCGCTAAGGCGAGAGCCACATTTTGGAAATGCATTCGCCCTCAATCCGTGAACTTTTTGAATGTTTAAAAGCGAATGTGCGTGGCGCTAAGGCGAGAACCACGTTTCGAAAATGAGCCGCCCTCAATCCGTGAAACTCTTTGCAATTTGTTAAAGCGAATGTGCGTGGCGCTAAGGCGAGAGCCACATGTTGAAAACCACCCGCCCTCAATCCGTGAAGCTCTTGCAAAGTTTTTAAAGCGAATGTGCGTGGCGCTAAGGCGAGAGCCACATGTTGAAAACCACCCGCCCTCAATCCGTGAAATTCTTGCAAAGTTTTTAAAGCGAATGTGCGTGGCGCTAAGGCGAGAGCCACATGTTGAAAACCACCCGCCCTCCATGTGTGAAAAGGTTGTCACTTTTTAGGCTTCAGAGTCATAAGTGGTGAGGCAGTCTCAGGCGAAACGCCCGGCCCGCCCTTAAAACTGGCCTCGGGGTGCGACAGGGAGGAGTCATCTATAAGGAGAAGGAATGGAGGAAGAGGAGGACGAGGAGGAGGAGGACGAGGACGAGGAGGAGGAGGAAGAGGAGGAGGAGGAGGAGGAGGAAGAGGAGAGGGAAGAGGGTGTTGGCGGTCGCCTTGGGCAGTATGTGCCGAATGATTTTTTCCGTCTGTCGAGCTTGTTGGCGGGCTAAGTAGTTTCTGGACGGGTTGGCTCGCTTGTGGGTGGTTGGGCGGGTCGTGGCGTGAATGCTTCATCGTGTGCTGTTCCATCCCGTCATGTCCACTTTCTCTTATCGAAGACGCCTGCGGCGAATCGTCGCCGCCCCCTGCCTTTTGGAATCGGCCACGTGGCCGAGCGTTCTGGCAAGAGTTCTGTCAAGCTATAGGACCACGTACTCCCCCAGCCGTTGTGGAAGCCCTTCGGGCATCATTTTTTGGGGGATGGTGGGGAAGATCAGGAGGAGGAGGAGGAGGAGGAGGAGGATGAGGATGAGGATGAGGGGGATGATGATGATGATGATGATGATGATGATGATGATGATGATGATGATGATGATGATGATGATGATGATGATGATGATGATGATGATGATGATGATGATGAGGAGGAACAGGATTCGGGGGCATGTTGGGAGACTCTGGAGGCACTCTTGGAGCCTCCTGGGAGCTCCCTGGGAGCCGCTTGCAGGCATCTTGGGGCCTCCTTGGGCGTCTTGGCGACCTTCGGGGGCTTCTCGCGGACCTCGTCGGCCGTCTTAGGGCATTCCTGGCCCGTCTGACGCCATCCGAAGCCGTCTTGGGGGCCTTTCTGGATTGACTGGGGGCCCTCTTGGGGTGCTCCAGGGCAGTCTTGGAGGCCATCTTGGGCGTCTTGGAGGCCTCTTGGGCCATCTTGGGGCCCTCTTGGGGCCGTCTTGGGAGCCTCTTGGGCCGTTCTGGGGCTATCTTGGAGGCCTCTTGGGCGATCTTGGGGTGGTCTTTGGGGGCTCTTGGGCTGTCTCGGGCCTTCGGAAGGCTGGCAAGAAGCCAATGCTAAGATCCTTCAAACCACTTACAGGACATCACTGATTTTGGCCCCTTCGGGCTTTCCTGGAGGCCTTCCTGGAGGCCTTCATGGAGGCCCTCTTGGAGACCTCTTGGGCCGTCTTGGGGACATCTGGGGGGGACCTCGGGCCGTCTTGGGCCATCTTAGAGCCATTTTGGGCTGTCTCGGTCGGTTCTTGGCCCGTCTGACGCCGTCCGTCGGAAGCCGTCTTGGGGGCCCCGCTGGGCCAACTTGGGGCCCTCTTGGGGTGCTCCAGGGCCGTCTTGGAGGCTTCCTTGGGCGTCTTGGAGGCCTCTTGGGCCGT